CCCCCCCCCCCCCCCGCCCCCCACCGCCCAGAGATTTGCACAACGGGGGCACGGAGGAGCCGGTCCGGCTGGTCCGGCAGGGATGGGTGGGCTGCGCTCCCCCCCCGGGATGTGTGGGGCAGAGATGTGGGGCAGAGTTGTGGGGCAGGGAGAAACAGGGCAGAGCTGTGGGGCAGAGCTGTGGGGTGGAGATGTGGGGCAGAGAGAAACAGGGCAGAGACATGGGACAGAGATGTGGGGCAGGGAGAAACAGGGCAGAGATGTGGGGCAGGGAGAAACAGGGCAGAGCTGTGGGGTGGAGATGTGGGGCAGAGAGAAACAGGGCAGAGACATGGGGCAGAGATGTGGGGCAGATATATGGAGTAGAAACGTGGGGCAGAGATGTGAGGCAGAGAGAAACAGGGCAGAGATGTGGGGCAGAGCTGTGGGGTGGAGATGTGGGGCAGATATATGGAGCAGAAACGTGGGGCCGAGAGAAACAGGGCAGAGACATGGGACAGAGATGTGGGGCAGAGACATGGGGCAGTGCTGTGGGGCAGAGCTGTGTGTAGATCTGTGGGGCAGAGCTGTGTGCAGTGCTGTGGGGCAGAGCTGTAGGGCAGTGCTGTGTGTAGAGCTGTGGGGCAGTGCTGTGGGGCAGAGCTGTAGGGCAGAGCTATGGGGCAGAGCTGTAGGGCAGTGCTGTGTGTAGAGCTGTGGGGCAGTGCTGTGGGGCAGAGCCCCATTTCTCCCTCCTGGACGATGTCAGGCTGAGCTCCACTCACCCTCGGATGCTCGGAGGTCGCTGTAGGGCGGCCCCATGGCTGAGCGCTGCTCTGGGCCCGGGCCGGGCTCTAAAGGGGCTCCGTTGGCTGCAATGAGAGGGGGGAGATCGGTTATGGGGCAGCGGGGGGAGGAGGGGGGCTATGGGGCAGTGAGGGGGTGGTTATGGGGCAGTGGGGGGGCGGGGAGCAGCACCCGGCTGTGGCACGAGGTTGTGAAAGCAGGGCTGGAATTTGCTGCGGTGCAAAACACCGCGCCCTTATGGGGCATGTGGGGCTGTGCCAGGAGGGCAGCGTCACAGCGGGAGGCCAACATCACCAGCAGCACCGCGACCAACACAGCAACCAACACTGCCAACAACACCGCGACCAACACAGCAACCAACACTGCCAGCAACACCGCGACCAACACTGCGACTAACATCGCCAGCAACACCGCGACCAGCACCACAACCAACACTGCCAACTACACCACAACCAACACTGCGACCAACATCGCAACCAACACCTCCACCAACACAACCAGCACTGCCACCAACACCACAACCAACACCTCCACCAACACCACCACCAATGCTGCAACCAACACATCCAACACCTGCACCAACACCGCAACCAACACCGTGACCAACACCGCAACCACCACAACCAACACCACAACCAACACTGTGACCAACACTGCAACCAACACCACCAACACCGCAACCAACACCACAACCAATACCACCAACACCACAACCAACACTGTGACCAACACTGCAACCAACACCGCAACCAACACCACCAACACTGTGACCAACACCACAACCAACACTGTGACCAACACCGCAACCAACACCACCAACACCGCAACCAACACCGCAACCAACACCACCAACACTGTGACCAACACCGCAACCAACACCGTGACCAACACTGCAACCAACACCACCAACACCGCAACCACCACAACCAACACCACCACCACCGCCGCCGTCCACCCCCAGCACAGCACCCCACAGCGCAGCCCATGTTAAAAACCGACGGCCAAACATCCACCGGTAATTAACGCCATCGCCACCACTAATTAACACCTAGACATCGGAACCAATTAAGAGGCACGCCAACACACCGAGCGGCCCCCGCAGTGACCCGGGGGCCGCCATGGCGGGACGGATGGCAGGACGGCAGGACGGACGGCAGGACGGCACCGCCGCCCATCAGAGCAAACACGGCGCTGACCTTGGGCGGGACGAGGAGCTCAGCAAACAGCCCTGGGGCTTTGGCTGCCACGTGGAATGCAGCCGGGCTGCCAGCACCCACCGCAGCCCCAGCCTGGGGCACAGAGCCCCCCCGTGCCCCCCACTGCCCCCCCGTGCCCCCCGGTGCCCCCCATTGCCTCTCATTGCCCCCCGGTGCCCTCCAGTGTCTCCCACTGCCCTCCATTGCCCCCCAAGGCCCCCCATTGCCTCTCATTTCCCCCCAGTGCTTTCCATTGCCCCCATTGCCCCCCATTGCCCCCATTGCCTCACATTGTCTCCCACTGACCCCCATTGCCCCCATTGCCCCCCGGTGCTTCCC